CCCTCGGATGACTTACAGTCACTATCTTTGCGGGGGGGGGGGGCTCCCCAGGGAAGGCGGTTAGGGACCCCGAATGTGAGCAGCCGGGACGGGGCTCCCAGGGCTCGCGAGCCGCGGCCGGAACTGGAGTGGGGGGGGTGTGGGCTTCCCGGGGACCGTCCCCACACGCTTCCCTCTGCCGACGTCAACCGTAGCCCCTAGGCGGGCGAGCCTTCCGCGTCTCCTCAGAGATTTGGCTGGCTGCGCACCTCGAGGTCTTAGGGTCTCGAGGAATGGGCTGGGGGAGGGCCGCCCGCGAACGGCGTGCCGAGGGGACCGGTCTCCCGGCGGGTTTGAAGGTGGGATCGGGTAGGGTTTGGTGACCGAGAAACCCGGGAGAAGACTTCGGGTTTTTTTCCCTCCCTCTCCTCAGAAAAGCAACCACATTGTGAGGGGGAAATAAGGAGGAGAGTAAACATAAACAACCTCAAAAAGACGCCAAGAAAAGCGAAGCCAAAAGAAGCAAGCGCAACACTGTTACAAAACTGGTTTTGTAACAATTTCCCTGCCGCCGGCCAATGAGCGGCGTGGCGGCGCGTCACGTGGTACTGTTTTATATAACACTTTGCTGAGACAGGACAGTTATTAGTCGGCGCGGGGCGGCCGGCATCGCGCTCCTGGAGGCGCGGCAGGGACCGGCGCGCGGCAACGCGGCGGCCGTGGCAGTCGGGATTCTCGTCAGTCGCTGCTCTCTGCTCTGGGTCTCTGGCCCCCTAGACGCCTCTTCCCGGCGCGCCTGTCTCTCTATCGATTCGCTTCAGACCGGACAGATGTTGAGCTTGCCCGCCGAGCTCGGCGGCAACAACTTAGAACTGGCGGAGCCCGCGACATCCGCGGCCCGCGGCGACATGGGCCCCCAGCCCGAGGCGGCTACAGAAGGCCCCGCACCTTTAGCCACTCGGGAGCCGGAGCCGGGGCCGGGGGAGCAGCCTCCGAGTCCCTCGACGCCCGAGTGCAAAGTCCTGCTCCAGAAGGCTGACGCCCTGGCGTCGGGGGGGCGTCTCCGGGAAGCCTTCGAGGTGTACAGACAGCTCTCCGAGCGGCAGCAGCTGGTGGCCGAGCAGCTGGAACAACTGGTGCGCTGCCTGGCCCAGAACGTCCCTCCAGGCGAGGCGCTGCCGCCGGCGCCCCCGGACAGAAGCGGTGCGGCGAGGCGTGAGGCTGCGGCGGAAGAGGCAGGGGCGCCAACGGCCGCCACGGCCACCGAGGTGTGGGACGGCTTCAAGTGCCGGAAGTGCCATGGGTTTCTGTCAGACCCCGTGTCCTTGTCGTGCGGCCACACCTTCTGTAAACTGTGCCTGGAACGCGGCCGGGCAGCCGACCGGCGCTGCGCCCTGTGCGGGGTCAAGCTCTCGGCGTTGATGGTGGCCGCCGGGAGGGCGCGCGGGGTCCGGCGAGTCGGGCAGCAGGAGGCGGCGGCGGCCGCGCCGCCGGCCCCGCCGCAGCCGCCGCCGGCCGCGCCGC